AAAAATAATTTTAGTACATGTTATTATGTGTCAGAAGAGGGCTTTGAAAATAATAATACCAACACAAAAAAACAAAACAAAAAATAATTTTAGTACATGTTATTATGTGTCAGAAGAGGGCTTTGAAAATAATAATACCAACACAAAAAAACAAAACAAAAAATTGACCAAAAGGGCACTTTGGGGCAAGGAGCAAAACGGGCAGGTGCTCAAGCACCCACAGACCCCCCTTCTGCACGTGCCTGCTAGGACGAGTTCCTGGATATTGTCATGAAACCTACAAATAAGGCTGATATTTTTTCCAAAAAGCTGATCTATATTCTACTTCAGCTGTCTAATGTTTTACAAAAAGAGAAATTATTTATCCAATATTGATTTTTTTAAGCAATTTTTTTTACGTTGATAAATGCTTAGATGATAGTGATGATGCTAACAGATCTCTCATTGTTTTGTTGAGCAACTTCAAAAGGACTGTACTGATTATCCATTGTATAGTCCTTTTACGATGGACTGCACCTTCCCTTTTATAGCTTACAAGAAGCTAAAAGGCAATTTTTTTGTCCCTTTTTATAGCTTACAAGAAGCTATAAAAGGGTGGAGGGGTGGGGAGGTTGTCAGGTCCTGTGTTTTGAGTTGTTTTGGAGCTTGTTATATATTTATTAAATCTTTCAAATAATTTTGTTTTTTTTTTCAAAAAGGATTATTTTTGAAAAAAAAAAAAAAAAGAATTAGCTGGACTGAGAACAGAAATCTGCCATTGTGCTGCAACAAACCAAAAATTCAGCTGTGTTGAGTTAAATTTAAGCGCGTCTGAACACTGGTCCACATCTATGTGACCAGTAGTGAGCAACCATCACCTGATAAAGGTGGGAAAGGCATAAGCACCTTGAGTGGGGGAGGGGCAGTTCCTCCCTCACAGCGCCATCAGTAGACCGCCGCCTCCTCTGCTATAGCAACACTGCTCCTTCACCATCTTCCTCCTCCTCTTCCTCCTCTTCTGCCGTCTGTGCTGTTGATCGCCAATCTGCAGGAGTATCCACAGGAGTCATTCCTTCCTCTTCACATTTTTTCCTTCCTTGATTTTGGGCGAAATCTGGGAGAATCGTGGAGATGATGGGCATCAAGGAGCGACGTGCAGTGAACGTGAAAGGCTTACTGAGGAGGAACTGGCTGCTTATTGCGACGGTTCTGTCGGTGCTGATCGGTAGGTGAACGGTTCTGTATGTCAGTGTGTGACACACTGACGCATTATTTCCGCTAACCTTCCTCAGTGTGAGATGTCTAACCCAGCTCCAGAGCTGTTGTAGCTCCATGCTGGGCAGACAGTCACAGGTTTGGTGCTGGAGGAGACAGCCTCTCCTGTGTCTCGATGAGCCTCAGTCAAACGTGACCAGATTGAGGTGAGAGCTCTTGGTGGGCTATGGAGGGTCTCTTAAAAGAGCATCTACTGTGGATGTTTTTGGCTGAATAATTTAGCTTTGTCTGTTTTCCATAGGATACGTTGCATGATGCAGAGCTTCAGTCAAGGATGCTCTCCATAAATATGACAAGGTGGAGGCAATTTTTTGTCCGTTTTTTGTCAGTTTTGCAATTACAAATCTTTGTTAGATTTATCAAACTGGCAGAAAAAAACGTCTCTCATCTATACAATGCCATATATAGTACTCATACCTCTGGAACTTCTCATGTGCATTTTATTTAGATTTTATGTGATGGTCCAACACAAAGCATGGTGTGATTGGGATATGAACAGCTTCATGTTAGTGGGCGTGTACCTCAGGTTTCCTCATCTGAAAGACTTAGTACCTGCGTAAATCAGAGTAAATCAGATTTATTCATGTTCTCACCAAATCTATGAAGCATGAATAGTATGTGTGTACACACAGTCTTGACCCAAGACCTGTGGAAATGCAGTTCAGACCAAAAAGGTTTAAACAGATTTAGATTTAAAGTGATGTTTCTTCTATTGGAAATTAATATTAATACAGAGTCCTGACTTGAATCTGATAAAAAAATCTGTGAACGGAGCTAAAGATGACCATGCAGTTTTCGGGTGTATCAGAGACAAGAAGCTGAGTACAGAGATGTAGTGGACCTCTTTGTGTCATGGTGTGGAAAAATTAATCTCATCTCGAATGTGAACAAAACAAAGGAGATAATTGTAGATTTCAGGAGAAACAGGATTAGATCCAATCCAACCCTATTTCCATCATGGGAGAAGAAGTGGAAGTGGTGGAGGAATATAAATACCTCTGTGTTCATCTGGGCAACAGACTGGACTGAATGTCTCCAGTCCAGCAACAGTGAAGCTTCAGTCCAGTCTGGAATGAATCTCCAGAATGGACTGGAGTGAAGGAATAGAGCAGACTGTACTTCTTGAGGAAGCTAAGATCCTTCAACGTTTGCACCAAGATGCTGCAGATTCTAACAGTCTGTTGTTGAGAGCGTCATCTCTTCTGCCATCATCTGTTGGGGCAGCAGCATCAAAACCAGGGACCTCAAAAGGCTCAACAGCTTGATAAAGAAGGCTGGTTCTGTAAATTAATGCTTTAGAACTTACCTGTAAAAATTAGGTCAGGGGACGCTAAGTGCTCTTAACGTTTTCAAAGATAACAAAAGTGCTAAAGCACTTAAGAAAAAAATTGCTCCACGTTCAGTGCATTAGAGCAAGTGTGTCTAGAACTGCTAAACAAATACTAATACTCTATTTTAAACTACTACAACTATATATTTTGATAAGGACCAGTTTTCTATTCATTTTAATAGTCATCCAGCATTAAAACAGTCTGATTAAATGCCAGGCTAATTGAAATAATTGAAATCTTGGCTTTCTTATTTTCCCTGATTAAAAAAAAAAGCTGGAAAGAAAGTTGAAATGCATTAATGATTTCTTGTACTCTGAACTAGCCTGGATGTAGATGGTGAAAGGCCAAATTTAAATATCATTGTTAAATTCTGATATTTAAACCTTTGCTTTAACTTATTTAGATTGACATCAAATGGTCCAAGAATGGCAGAAGCTGTGTTTGGTTAATCAGTGTCTCCTTTTAAACTGACAGTTTGCTGAATTAGCAGACTAGGTGGCCTTGAAATGGTATGAACAGCAGAAACTTTATAGCCGGCTTTTTCAGTAACTTTTCCCCAGGCTTTGATAGTTGGAATAACTTCTTGCCTTTCTGATGTTTCAGCTCAGGTATTTTATAATAACACGTCTAACTCATAGCATGTGACTATAGGTAGGGCTTGAATTTTTATGGAAAAAAAAACAATATGAAATGTTATCATGGCAATTTAAGTGCTTCCATGGAATGTATGAGAAGGTTAATAAATGATCAGTGTCCTAAAGTTATTGGTCAAACACTAGACCTCTCTTTTCTTTCTGTTGTCAGAATGTGAACCTGAACGACTTCTTAAAAGTAAGGGTGCACTGATTGGAGTTTTTTGGGTGATCTTTAAAAAGCCTGAGCTACTGATTCAAATTTTGGCTAATACCAATTTTTTGTCTGGAAAGTTGATAAATATAGCGACAAAGTTAGCAACAATGTGACAATGATTAACTGCCAACATGCATACGTGAACTGGTGGGCGGGTCTGTCAGTCAGCCTCTCTCCCAGCAGAGAGGCCGACAGTGGCTGATTTTCAGACCTTTATGAAGGAAAATAAGATTCATTTCAATTCAGTTTAAACAGCACCATTTCATAACAGATGTCATGTCAAGATCAGTGGATAAAATCAATTTCACATGTAAATGTCGGGATGATTCCTGATTTCCCAAAATTAAGGAAATTAGGGTCAATTTCTTCGTATACTCCCACTTAAAGGTTTGGTCAGGTTTTTGTAACTGGGATTCTGTTGAGAATTTATGAGTAATTATTATCTAAGCTACAATAATAAATAAAGTTTACCCAGATGCTAATTTGTGTGGGGCTAAGACAAAATAGTTTTCTGTCTTGTTAAAGCATCCTTAGTCAAAAATGTCACATTGTGTTGGGCTATGAGAACAAGATTTCCTAAACTGTTAAACATTAGACTGTTATTCATAGTTAAAATCCAAATTATCCCCACCCCTAGATTTCTATTTCAGATATTTTTAAATCCTATTTCTGATAAGAAATGAGACAGGTATCTCTAAAAAAGATAATAAAACAATGTATCAGTATCAGTCCTCTTAACTTGATAAGGCGCTATACAAGTACATAGTCTATGGTCTGTGGAGATGAGGAGGCAGAGGCAGGGTACAAATCCTGGGAATACGAAGTGGAGCAGAGAATGTGTGAGGGGCATTGATCTTTTAAGTAAGAGGCTACTTTACCATGTGGACAATGAAAAGAGAGCAGGGAGATTTTGTAAATGATCATAGTAGAGATGGGAAGCTGGTGGAGTGTACAAAGAACATCGGGAATGTGTTCATGTTTACACTCTCTCATAAGGTTTCTGTTAGCACTGTTCTGAACATTCTGTCATTTTCGTGTGTCCTCCCCAAAAATCCCTAAAGGCATGTTTGGCATGTTTTCTCTGCTATTCTGATTATTTATCTCTGGTGATGAGCTTAGTCATTTAGGCAAGAGCACCTCTTTACCAATCACCCTAATCTTTAGCTTTCTCCACAGATTCTCAATCAGATTCAAGTCAAGACTTTGGCTACATCCACTCTAAGCCATTAACATTACCTTCAGTCAGAATAAAGCAAGTTGGTGAAACTAAAAGACTTTAAATCTGAATCTACTTGAGGAATTAATAGTTTTGGGCTTAGCTGTGGACAGATTATTTTTATTTAACGCCAAGTCTGATGGAAGTTAGCTTCATAATCATTCTAAGAGCAGTATGCTATATATGAGCTGTTGTGAAATGGGAGGATTCCAGGTGAGATGATTACAATCTTCTGCAGGTCTTATACAGCAGAGATAAGCTTTGTGATCCACTGCTACTATTTAATTTTGATTATTTCATACCCAACACATTTCTCCCAGGATGTTTGATTTACCAAACCATTGAAAGCACACCGTCACAGACTGATTCAGCAGAATTTTGATCCTCGGCTGCATTTTAAATGCGTCTGAGCTGTAATCAGAAATGTCCTTTGACCTGGTAAACACATGTTTTCCAGGTCAAAGTTTCAAAATCCACCCCACTCATAGTTGATGTTTGAAGTCATCCTGACTGGGCTGGGGTGGGGGAAACTGTTATATTGTAAAGGTGTTAGAGTAAATCATTATAGTGGACATAATTACACAATAATCAGGGTTGTTAAATTCACAAGGATCCAGCATGAATAATGCAAAGTAGTCAAAATCAGAACAGCAGTAAGGTGCTGCAATGAAAAACACCAACTTGGAAGAAATGTATAGCTTTGTAATATTCTGAAAGATAGATTTGCCACCTAAAGTTAATCTTTCTGGTCCTGTTTTTTCTTTATAAAGTTGTTCTTAACCTCTTTAAAGCACTTTGTGTTTCACCGAGTTGTTAGAAACATGCTCTATAAATAAAGTTTGATCAGCAATGCAGTTACATCACAGGAAAATATGAGCAAAATATGATGTTAAGCATTTCTAAGAACTGTCTTTTGTGCAACATGATCGACGCTATTCATTGAAAATCCAGTTAAGTGTTGGGCAGACACAGATGGATACAGTAGCTCAGCATGAAATAATACCACTGAAAGACTTGAAAGGACCCTGCATACAGAGAGAAATTAATCAAATATGTAGCTAAGCAACAGAAATGGTACATAATCACGATGAGAAGCTGAATGGCCACAATGATAAATAGACAAATAAATATACAATAATTAAATAAAATATCTTTGCTATTTCCGATTTTCTGTTTAAAATTCATTTATCCAATGTCATACGTTTTCTTTATGTCCTTTACGGTTGTTGATTGCAGCTTAGTTTTACCCTTATCATTATTGTTTCGAGTTCAGTAAAAATCGCTAATGGTCATTGTGGCCACAATGAGCTGTTGTCTGCTAGTCAGAAGGTTGTGAGCTTGATTTCAGTGTCTCACTGACTGAGTTACTGAAGCCCAAGTTGACAATCCATTCTAATTTAGTCTAAAATGCTGGACTAGCATTCTAGTCCATTCTGGACTAGCATTCTAGTCTATCATTGTAATAATGTGTGCTGAAAGGTGACTTTGACTCTTAAAAGCACTTTACATCACCAGT